AAACTAAATAACAGTAAACCTTTTTTTGATTTACGGTATTTTCTTATTTTGATGTTTTGAGCTGTTTTGTGTTTAGAACAATATATACTAATTTTTAAAGTATCAAATTGAATTTTTGTTCAATAAAAGTCTTTCAAATGTGACTCTCCTTTTTTTCTCCCAAAACTTTGTCTTCAAAATAAGGGTGCGTCTTATACACGGGTGCATCTTATATTCCGAAAAATATGGTAATTTAATTGCAAATCACTTGTCTTGACACAACCAGATTCTTCTGATGGAATGAATGCTACATCACAAGTTTTTTCACTGGATTTGCTCTCCAATGATCGATGCCTTTGCAACTCGTTAGAATTTTCAACAGCAGTTGTTTTGGTCTCCAATATCTCATCCTCAGGACTGGACAGGTTTGCATCTGTATGCTTTTTCCCCAATTTGGCTATTGTCCCAGGTTCTGACTATGGTTCATTCCACTCCCTGTTGAGTTCTCTTAGTTGCACCACATTGGCCAGCTTAAACATGGTTTTCACTTCTTCGATATCTGCAGGAATGTCCACATCTACCTCTTCCACACTGGTAGTCTTTGTTGAGACAAACCCGATGAAACATTCTCCACCCAGATGTTTGGAAACTCGATCTTCATGCGTGGAAGTTGTGCTGTCCTTTGTCTGACATAAGGGCTTAACTTCTAATGTCTCTCTGTATTTAACTAAATCTCTCCATAGGCCAACCATTGCTGTTTATCAATGGAATATGAATACACTTCCTCACTGGTGTATTAAAAGGAATTTAAACCCTCTTCATCCTAAAGTATCTACCATATCATATTTTCTGACTTCGGTATTTGAGAGGGGTCTTGCTTCATCTACAGTAGCTTTAATAAGGCATGCTTATCTACTATTTTTTGGTATTTTAAATATCAGGTTTTTGAATCCTCAGTGCTATCAGGTTTACTCAAATCTTTTCATATTCCTCGACCCAAACAACCTTTTCAATTACCAAACTTTACAGTTTTTTTACACGCAGTGTATCATCCTCTCTTTGAGCCCTTAGCCTCATGTTATTTGTTTCACCTTTCTCTAAAATGTATTTTTTGTTGTTTTTGGCTTGTGGATGTTGTTGGTCAGAGTTGTTTGCAATCCATGTGGATTGGACTCTTTATCATTCCACATTTGTCCTGCTTTACCATGACAGGTCTTTTCTTCCAAAGACTAGAAGCTAAGGAAGGGGAAGGATCCTTCTCACCAATTCATTTGCCAGCCATTTTTCACCTTTATAACCACTTTGATCCTGATCGTTTATGTCCTGTTAGGACCCTCAAGTGTTATGTGGCACATACTAACTCATTTCGAGGTAGTAGGAATCGATCGTTCATTTATTGGAATCCTTCTATTTCCCTTGACTTATCTCCCATTACTCTAACATGGTGGCTTCATAAATTGATTCACATTGCTTATAATGAATTATCGATACAGGAGAGGAATCTTTTGCATGTCACTTCTCACCTGATTCAGGATATCTCTATGTCATTAGGCGCCTGGTTGAATTGCCTTCTGAAAGATATTATGCAAGCTGGTATGTGGACTACTAATACTTTCCTATCCCATTACTTACATGATCTGGCAGTTTCCTCTTCTGAGGGTTTTCAACTAACCCCTGTAGCTGTTTTGACTAGAGGTGAGTATTTCCTCAATCATATAACTTTTTATTTTCAGGGTTCCTTTTATTTTTAACTTTATCCCACTCTGTGGCAAGTGTTGCCCAGGCAGGTTTGCTTTCTCTTTTCAGTTCCAAACTAGCAACCACTTTTACTATAATTACTATAAGTTGCAACAGGCTCTGTCAAAATGGGGTGTTCCATAAGACCATCTAGGCACTTACCACATAGTATTACCATTTTATCATGAACTGCCACTCGTGGACTATCATGAGTAAAGCTAAAGGGGATCCTGCTTGTCACTGCCAATCTTCAGGTTGAATAAATCGGGTTCAGTTTCCTTTTAAAAATGTAGGGAATTTGGTTCACTTATAGCACAATTTCCAGAGCACTGTTCCTCAGGACTGCCCAAGGAGTTTTACCCCTCCAGACTGTACTGGTGGAGCATGGGAGTCCTTACCACCCTAGTTTCCAGTCACTGGGGTGGTGGACAGAGGATTTTCCTATATAGTGTTAGTGTGTTCCTCTACTCTTGGAGAAGAGGGTGAAGTTGGGGGCCATCCTACTTGAGTCCCTGGATGTTTTTCCTAGATATCAGTAGGAGTGGCACCAGCCTCCGTGGGTTCCTACTCATAATTCTGGATGTTTTTCCTAGATGTCAGTAGGAGTGGCACCAGCCTCTGTGGGTTTCTACTCATAATTCTGGTTCAGATTTGACACAAAGCCATCAGGTTGGGGGGTGCATGGCCCTTCTCTTTGATCAATGTCGGTTTCGTATATTGTTCATGAACAGAGGTCCAATATCTTCTCATAGTTCTGACGCGATGTGGTCCCATCCTAGGTCCTTGGTTGAGCCCAGGTTCTACGTCCTCTCCATAATTCCAGGGGCAAGTGGAATATTCCTTGTCCACTTGGTTGGGGAGTGTGGATGAATGTTCATAATTCCAGACCAGATGAGTTCTGTTCCTTTGGTTGAGTATGGCATACACAATCCTGTCATTCTGCATCTGGAGTGTTGCCTTTTGGACTTCTTCAGGTGGAGGAAAAAGTTTGTCTACTCCGGTGCTGCTTAATTTCTCGTCGTGATTCTGTGTCACTCTATGGCTACAGTTTGGGATCCAATTGAAAGTATATATGATATTGCAGTCCAGTAGCCCTAGCCACCAACATGGGATATATTAACCATGACCTTTTAATTCCAACCCTGAGTTGTGGAACCTCTGGTATCTGGTTGGGGCTGGCCTATACTGACGATTACTTGTAGTCTATTCCATCTTTGATGTAGGAATTGAGTTCCAAGTGAAGAGCATGCCTGTTCTGGATGTAGTGCAGTTCCCCCACTGTTGTACCATCTTTATATTAGTACATTTCTGTTCTATACAGATGCTTTCTGAATGGTTCATGCCTGTACCAGCTCCTTCACCTTCTCAATGTAGGATTCTAGCTATAGTGTCAGCGGAGATAAATATGTTTTGGAAGCTATCATTTTCCTAAACTGAAAATGTATTTCCAATAATACCTACCTCCACTGACACTCTCCCTCCCTACCTCCGAACTAAAAGTCGGTTTATGACTCGAAAAAGTAATTACATTATCTGAATGAGGTGCATATATACTGTATCTAGATAGAGGGAGCATTGAAGTTGGTTTAGAAATTTGCAAATTAGAATTTGAGAAGGGCATTTGAGCTGGGTATATAAAGACTTGAGCAAGCTATAGTGTCAGTGGAGGTAAGTATTATTGGAAATGCATTTTCAGTATAGGAAAAGTTAACTTTATATCTTGAACTGTGTTTTATTTTCAATAGATTAAGTTTTTTTTATTCAAATGCATTTTCTTAATATGATTAATTTGACAATAACATTCAATACATTAGGATTTGAGTTGTCTGTTATGTGAATATTTTGTATTTGCCTACTGTGCTATCTACTACCAGCAAGACTTAGGTGATATCTTCTTGTATTAAATTGTTTGTCACCAGTTTATTCACAATAGATAGCAATATATATAGTTCATAATCTGCTTTATCCAGTGGTATTTAAACCTTGCCTGTAGCTATTTTGAAAGCTGAGTTTCATTAGTAGTTGTTCAGTCACCTGCTGTGAGATCAAAAAGGGTGGGAACCAAGAGTTTATACTAATATAATTCAGAGAAAGGGAAGAAAAATTCTGAGTGTGGTGTTTACAAGTGAGACTCCTTGAAACTGTCCAGAAATGTAATTGCAAAAAATGTTTCTTTGTAAATTACATTAAATTATTGTTTCAAAATGGCAATTCTTAAATATTTTGAGGTAAGAGTTGTTGAAATAGTTAGAATTATATGACTTAAGTTTTGAAATTTGATAGGCAGGTATGCATTAGACATCTAAAAGGTGCTCTTTGGCTCATAAAGAGTTAAGTGTGCAAAGAATAATAAAGCTGTATATTATATTGGACTCTGTCATGAAAAGAGCTAGCATTCAGTTGTTTCAGTTTGCTTTCCTTTTGTGGCTGGAGAATTATCTTTATTTTAATACCCAAGATGAATAAAATGCTCAGTGTTTTCATCTAATTCCTTCATTGTGAGCTCTCTCTGTTCATTAAAAGTTTATTTTGAAATTTTGTGTCACTTTGATTCAAGAACTATATAATAATTGAACTTTATTTATACCTTTATGTACGCTACTTAAACACTGTACACTTGGATTTTACTCTTGGGTGTGTTTAATTAGCATTATATGAAACCTGGAATTTGGAAATTAAGGATAAGTTGTAACTGTTTTTGTCCATAAGATATTGTTGTTTGCATTCAAGATATAATGATATGAAATGAGAGTGCAAAAGTAAGAGTTAAAGAAAGATGATATAGCCATGCATGTAGAAATAATTCTGTATACATCTTTATCCATCTCACTTTTGCTGAAATCAGTTTATTTTAAATCTTACCTTAATTCTGAAATATAAAAACAATCCAAACATGTTTGTTACTTGACTAATTCTGTGAATTCAGATAAATGTAGGCATTCACAAAAGTTTAAATAATTTTTAACTCTCCATTAAGGTTCTGAGTAATGATGAACTTGTAGTTTTAATATTTTGATAATTTTTATAACTCCAAAATTTGTTTCATAATTATCTATTTAGGATTTTTTAGTGATTTTTGATAACACATTAGCTTACCAAGTCAAATTTTAGTTTTGTTCTTCATGAGTTTACTTTTGCTAACACAGTCTTTTGAAAGTTCTCTAACCTTTTTTTGTAGAGATTTAATTAGTAGGAGTAAAGATAAGTGTTTCAGTTTAAAATTTGCTTTATTTATATAATGAAAAGAACATGTTAGTACTATTTATATTAATTTGTTTTCACAGCACATGGCTTCTGAAGATGTAGCAAATACTGCCATTCAAGAACTGAACAATTCTGAATTTATGGGTAAAAAGATAACAGTTGAGGTTAGTATTTACTGGCTTTATAGGTTTAAATTAATTGTTGATTCTTTTTTATAGCTTGAATATTATTTTTCTATTCATCTTATTACCACGTGTAAATATTTTTAGCTTCCATATGTAGGGCTGAATTAAGCAGTTGCTGTACCCCAATCATAGGTTGCACAGCAAACCTTTTGGGCCCCCATGACTCATGCATTCACATTTTCAAGGATAATCTCAAACACGTCTAATAATATTAGAATGTATTAATTTTCTAAACAATAAGTGTAATATGTAATATCTGGCACATAAAATGAAAGTGTGATCTATATAGACTTATATAAAAAAAATTATTTTTATTAAAAATAATTGTTAATAACATTATTGCTATAAATATCTGTAAATCAATTTTAAAATCTTGCTTTACGAGCTTTGTTTGCAGCAAATGTTTCAGTTATTTCATTTATGTCTTAAGTTGTCAAGAATATCAGATTCAGTGCTTAGAATTGATAGGTTTGACAGCCTGTTTTTCTCATTGTTGATCTTAAATAATTTTTATTAATTTTGATTTTGAAAAAAGATGTTAGAGCTTGGTAGACATAAAAATATCCTTAAGGCAATCTCAATACTGGGAAAAGTGGAGTTTCTTTCAAATTTCCCAACAAAGTAACTAGATCTAATTTGCTAGCTTGAAAAAATACATCTTTGTATAACTGAAAATGCAACAGTTCTTGTAAGTCGTTTCTATCTATATTTTTTCCATATGTTTCAAGAAACTTTGCTTTTGAGGCCTGGTTATCCCATAAGAATGAAAACACATCATTAAGTTTTTATAGCTTTTGGTATGTTTTTTAAGAAAACTAACTAAAGAATATAACTTAAAAAATCATATTAACTCTAAAATTGGCATATAAGTTTTCTGTAAAATCTAAATCACTTTTCTTGGGCTGGGAGTCTACTTTGTCGAAGAATTTCTCACTTTTTATCTCTTTCCTTTGCCCTTCAACAAAGGTTCAAAATCTCGTCCATTTGATTCTTCCGACAGTTTTTTCCACTTCATTGTAAACCTCTTTGGTAAATTTACTTGACGTATAATCAGTTAAACTTTCTAATGAAATGTAACATTATTTAAAATTTGTTTTTGTTCCTTGAATTGAAATACTAACAGCATTAATTTTTGTCAGAATATCCTTGAAAATAATATAAAGAACAACTGTGTCGAGGTATGATAGTTGTTTCTTTAAGTTTTGAGCCTCTGTTTTTGTTTCTAGATTTGTGGATTCATATAGTAAAAGGTTGTCTAAGCAATTAACCACATTTTGATAATCATTCTATAAGGCATCAACAGCTTTCAAACGAGCAGAGAATCGTGTAGTTGATAAATATTTTAATAGCTTTCCTCCTGAAGTGTATTTATTTAAATTTTACAATCTTAGAGTAGAACCACTAAAAATGTATACAGCCTTTGCAAGAGACTGAAAAAACTTGAACAATCTTCAGAAGCTTTCTTAGCATTTTGGATTGCTAAGTTTAGACTGTGCATGGTATGTTTAAGACCTGCATAAACTCATTTGTAAAATATGAAACTTTTGTGCTCCATTATATAAGCCAGATAAATTAGCTGCATTTTCATATGTTTGGCGAACACAGCCTCATGTTTCTATATTGTTCTTTTAAAGTTCTTCAAATACAGTTTTTGCCAAATATATTCCAGTGTGTGTGTCTTCTAAGGCAACAAGTCCCAAAAATGACAATGACAGTTCACCCCCTTCAGTACAGTGTTGGATTACAAAGCAAATCTGGTCCATATGTGAATAGTCTGGAGTTGAATCAAAAATAATGAAGTAATATTTTTTTATTGCATTCAATATTTTCTCTCTCACTCATTTTGCCAATATATTTATCAACTCTTCAGATACTGTTTTGGATAAATATGAAACATTTCCTCTCCTGCCATGAAGTGTTTTTGTTTTGATGTGTTGCTCCATAAATGGGTCAGTTTTTGCAATCAGTTTCATAGTAGCTAAAATCAGGCCACAGTTATTTTTTGCCAAAAACTTAACATCATCAACACCTCTTTGCAATACTTTCTTCTGATAACTTTTTTTCACGTCAAGTTGTTTTTTTAAAGTTTTTGTCCAATCTGCAATTACTTTTTCTTCGGTTAAAAATATAGTTCCTGCAGTAATATGTGCTGCACTTCGTTCATGGTTATTAAGATGCTGACCTGCATTATTCCATTCATTGAATCCTATCACCAAAGCACTCGTCTATGCTTCTGGCTTTCCATAAAGTTTGCAGTATAAGCAGAATACTTTGCCACTTTTAGGGTTTTAGGGGTATAAGCCATTTTTTTTTTCCTTCTTCAAATTTGGTTTGGTGGAATAAAAAAGGGATACGAGTTAGTCTTCTCTTTCTCCCAAACATTAATCTATCAGACTTCTCAAAATTTACATCCTTGTTTTGCTGAGGAAGTTTCTCCAATAACGAGAACTGTAGAAATTTATCATTTAGAATCCAATCAGTGGGATCATTAGAATACTCTGACAGTTTTGTGTGCACAACTGTATTAGATGACTCGTGAATTTCAATTTCCCTATTATTCTGCAACTGTAGCTTCAGTGAAAATTAAAAATCGTTACCTCCATATCTGCAGAGCTGGTGCTTGTAGATGCATCAGTTAGGGCTAAAAAACAGTTATCTAACTTAAGTAGCTTTTTCTCTAATCATTCTTTTTGTTTTTAAGCACCAGATTTTTGCTTTGAAGACATTGGGTCTGTAAGTGGGGTTCACTAAATCACCAAATCATATGAACGATAATACAAAACATAATTTTTTATAGTAGTTTGTTGGCAGTAGTCTGAACACAAAGATAGAGTAAAACCTTTTAAGAACTGGGTTTAAGGAGCCGATACAGAGTAACAGAGGTGAGCCAGAATTTGACCAGAAAGGTTTTACTACATTCTACAATGTTCTGAAGTTGGGCTCACTTATTTAGCGAAACCTGCTATACTATATTTAGAAATTATGAGAAATAATAATAGAAATAGTTTAAAATGCATAATCATTATCGGAATGCGGGTGTAATGCAGTTTTGTATAATTTAAGGCAGAAAAACATCAAAATTGGCCAAAACCCCATAATTTCTTTTATTGAGCTAAAACGAAGTTCTGATCTACATTACAATATTACATGGAAAAAGCCACTAAAAAGTTATTATAAAAAAAGTGTAGTTTGGGGGGGGGGGTTCTATTTGATGTGCATTTAAAAAGAAAAAAAAATCTTTCTCTCTAAAGAAAAAAAATGGAACAAAATCTGTCATTTTTAATGGAGTAGTAATCACATGGACTTATCATGCAGACAGGAGAGTTCTTGTCTATGAATGATTATCACCAGTGGGTAATTTTAAGCATGATTTACTGCCTTAAATGCAAAAATGCAAATAAATAAAACTTGTCATGGTGCAGTAAATTTACAATTTGTAAATAGATTGTCAGTGATTCTAAACTTCTAACAAAGATGTCAACAAAGATATTTAAAGTTATGTTAGTGTGTGATGAGCCCCAAGCTCGTGCTTGTTTTGCTTAATGATTAATCTGGCACTGTTCATATGAGCTATTTTGACATTTTTTGATGTAGCTGTGATACATTTTAGTACTCTGTTTTTCATTCTATGTATTAATTTTCTCAATGCAGCTTTCACATAGTAAAGTCAGACAAAAAGCGGGAATGGGTGGCAAAGGAACATGTTACAGATGTGGACGGGCAGGCCATTGGTAAGTAAGCATTTCACAAGTAATAGATATATAATGTGTTTCAATTGATATTGGTTAGAATTAACCTGACAATTAACCTTTTGGAAACCTGACAAGATTGTTAATTGTTTTGCACATTGTTAATTATTTTTTTCCATGTGTATTATGGTGATTTGCAAATGGAATTCAAAATTATTATGTTTTTCATACATTGTATTTTCATTTGCAAGAGACTGCTGGTTTATTGTACACAACACTATTTACTCATCAACCATATACTGAATTTCATTACTGTAAAATAGTGTTAACCCAACGACTGTGGGATATGTCCATTTCGCAATGTTCTTGTATGGAGAATGGTACACAGTTCAATAATACCTACAGTAACTCTGAGCTTTCTTAACATATCTTCACAACAATTGGTAAGAATTTGTTAAAGATTACAAGTAATTTGTACACAAACAATGATATTATTTTAATTAAGTATTTTACCTAAATATTATTTTTGTATTGTAGTTATTTGCACTCAGCCTCTCTAATATTTCAAGTATTATCATCAATGTCTAGTGCAATGAAATGTTCAGTATTGAGAAATAGAAAAAATGTACATACCTTTTAATTTTTGTAACCTTGTAACCATTTTGTACTCCTTATAGTATCTGTTTTATAACTGTTAATACATAAAATGTCAGACTTTAGTAAATATTACAAGTCTTTTGTACACAAAAAATTAGATCTGTTAATGAAGTGTTCTTACTAAAGATTCTGCCATGAATATATATATATACTATTTCTATTTACTAGTCCTAGTGCCAAGTGATTTTCACGTTAAGATTAAAAATACGTTCTTCATCTCAAAAATTTCAAATTTTCTTTGCATAATTTGTAAACCTTATATCTTTTTATTTGTTTTACCTTAACTTTATACAAGGTTGGTCTGTTTGAATGACATCGTAACCACTATAAAAAATTTAAATAAATCTAAATTACCCTTTTGTTTTTCATTGTAGAATGACTTCAAATTGTAATATGAAACTACATTTGTTTATCCTCATTTGCTATACACTCCTAACAGTATACAAGTATTTATAGTTAAGTTTTATTGCCATTTGAACCCTGACTAATTACTCTGTGCTATTATAACTTTGTATATCACTTGGGAAATGTGTAGCTCATGTTACGCTATTGAATTACATTACGCACTAGCTATTCTCTTGTGAGTGTACCTCGTGAAAAATTTTATTGTATTATTATTATTTATTTCACCTAAACTAACATAAAAATTTTCCTATTTTTACACTTTAGTTACTATATAATAAGAAATAATGAGTACACATGTAAAAGAAGAAATAAAGTACTTACTTGGGTTTTTTTTTTGCTGTCAAATGTAGACACTTAACCCTTCTTTTTTATACTAATGGTAATATAGCACTAAATAATTTTTTCATTCAGTTAAATAATGCACAAAAGAACACAGAATAATAATGTGCAAAAAAGCAGACAATGATCCCTAACTGTCACAATTTTTGTGGCTTTCTAACTTTATGACAAAAGCCATTAAAACCTCGTCAATGTGTTTCCCATGGGAATCAAACTTGAACTGAAAGAGAAATTGACAATTCTCTCTACAAAATAATATAATACATCATTTGATATATGAAACTTTGGCTTTCAAATGGTTATAAAAAATATAGAATTGAATGGAAGAGAGAACTATTGGCAATTTCGGAAAGAGAGGATGTGGCAGTTAGTCATTGCAAGAGGGATCTGATTGTTTGTTTCCAAATAAGATTGGAGGCTATGAAAGTTATGCTTTGCCTGAGTGTTGGGGATATTATAATAAGTAATATATGTTAAATTTTGTACTTGGAGAGGTGATAAATAAATTATAGAAGAGGGGATGCCTAGAGAGCAAATGTCACAATTCTCACACTAGCTGAAAGTCTAAATTTTTTTTATTATTGCCTTATAAAAGTAATAACTTGAAACTTGTATAATATCAAAATATGGAATATTAGCTATGTTTTTATGCTATAATTATTTGGTATACCATGAAAAGAAAGTTGTTTAATTGAATTTTGAATGTAACTCACTAAAACCTTCTGACATGAGCAGAAAAATGTCTGTGGAGAGAAAGTTTTATTCTTTCAGCATGGGCTCAGTCACTGGGACCAACCTCATAACCATTTTGTGCTTGTTATAGTTTTTATGCTATAACTTTAAATTAGTAAGCGTATGTTAACAAAATTTGGAAGATTATCAGTAAGCATTACAATGCTTTCGTATGCAAAATATAAACATTTTTTTTATTAAGTCTCAAGGTTTGTTAAGAAAAATTTTTCTCGTGCCTTTTTTTTTTTCATTTTGCATGATGCTTATCCAACATGGAAAGTAATTTTCAGATAAAAATACTTTTGTTCATCAGAAAATTTTCAAATATCACATGCAAAATCTTTATAATGTCCAGATAGTTATCAAATGTTTCTTTAAAAAGAACTTTATATTTTATCGGTTATTTTCACTAATGAATCTGTACAGGTTTGGTAGATTTGACCAATCTTGTAACCACCATAAAGAATTAGGAAATTAATATAAGTTTTGCCTCTTTTATTTTAGAATGACTACAAATTATAACATGAAAACCTAAATGTTTAGACTAAATAGCTTAAATCTCATAACATTATACATTTCTATATATTTATTGCTTTTATTATATTGACCTTTCATCTGTACCTGGTTAACAATACAGAAGTTACAATGACGCGGCACGTGTGCTCTCATGTTACCATTATCAGTAATATAAAACTGACCTTTAGTCTTTACAAAGTGACCTGTCTTGGCTGTGTTTTAATAGACTAGTATTTTGAGAAATACAGTCACATTTCCATTATTTTACTTTATATATATATCATAACTATTTAGAAATAGATTCTTAAACTTATTTTCTTTAAAACATAGGACAGTAAATAAAGAAGTAAAGCAAACAATTCTCTTCTAGTTCCAATCTTTGTACTTGATTGCTGCTTGATGTAGGTACTAAGCCTTTTAAAATTTTGCACTTGGAGGATATAGAAAAAAAAATTTTTTTAAAGGTTTTATATATATACATTTGAATAACCAGAAAATCATAAATTACTATATCGATACAATAGAATTCCACTACAATTTACCAAGCTTAATAATTAAGCTGTATTTTAGACTAAGAAAATATGAAATTTCAAGCTGACTGAAGACACAAACTACCTCCTTGAAATATTGATTCGAAAGAACGAGATGGTGTCCTCACATATGAAAATGGCTAAGAAAGCCACTAGGGGAACATTTTGAACTTTTGATTGGTTATTCACATGTCATATATTGAAGTAAGTGTATATAAGGGATCGTTTCCAAAAATGGAAAGAGGTCAGTGGGAGGGGGGGATGTGATTGATTCAGTGCATGAGTGATATTTCAGCAAATAGAAAAGTTCTTATTTTATATTCTAGGTTGTCAATATCGGTAATCTTGAGTTCTATTTGTACAAAACAATAGACTTAGTATTTTGACATCACAAACATCTAATTTGAACCAGTACTACATTCCACATACCACGTGACACACAAAAATCAATGTTTAGCTGTTTGTATTATTTACTTTTAAATCAAGAAATTAAATATTCTATAGTAATACTAAAATCTGAAGTATAATCTACAGTTTGATACCAAACTTATTGACATAAATTTATGAAATAGCAGTTAAATAGAATTTTGAATGCGATAATGTGGCCTTTGACCCATGATCCATCTAGAGAGGGTTAAAGATTTTTTTGTTATATTCTTAATTGCAAGTCTTTACATTTTCATATATAGTTTATTTTACATTCCTGTTCTTTAGTGTTGTTATTTATTAGGAGACACACGTCAAAGGGCATCCTCAGGAAATATTACAGTATTGTCGGTATTAATATGTGAAAAAAGAGATTTATTTATTCTTTCTTGGAATTTACTCTAAGGAATTTGAGAGAAGGATGTTTAAACATAGCAATTAGCATAATTTATGATAATGTACAAGAAGAATTAAAGTTTCAGAAAATGAACATTAAGACTTGTAAATGCTTGTTTGTGATGGGGCAACAAAAGTGAAGATTAAGTTTATTTCTTGAGTTTCTTTTGAAGTAAAGGAATTGAAACATAGATAATATAAAACATTGAATTATAACATACATTAGAATGCTAATTTTGTTGACAAACATTGATATTGAAGTTGCTTTATTATATTTTGAATGTAACTCAGTAAAACTTCATGAAGTGCTGAAAGGGAACCTGTAACCATATGGTTGATGCTCAGAGTAATGCTTGAGGGCCTTGTTTAAAATATGTTAAATGTTCACATAGTAGTATTCTCATACATCCTTAAATCTTGTGAGTCAAAACTGAAAAGGTAAATTTGTTTTTGCCTAAAATATAAATAATAAACATTCCATGTTAAAATTCAAGTCTTAACTTAATTCATTTATTTCCTTCCTTATAAACATTAGGCTATAATTACATGCTGTGGGTTAACATCTGCTTTAATTGGTTAGAAATATAATAAAAGTTCTTAAACAACCTGTTAGAATGTACTGTAGTTGGTTATTACCCAACAAAATTGTTTTATCTTTTTTGTAGGTCTAAAGAATGTCCCAGGAATCCGTAAGTATAAAATTGTTTTGATATTCTTTGATAAAGTATGGTACAGTAGTTTCTCTTTAAGCTTATAGCACAGCTTGCAGTCTTTCTTCTAAGCTGATATACTTAATGGTTATATTGGTTTAATGAGGTTTTTGCTCATTCTTTTAGAACAGTGTATGTGTTTGTGTCATTAATTTCAGTTGCTTGTGTTTATATGGGACAGTGAAGTAAATGTCATGTGAGTACTTACCATTCATACATGTGCTGGTTCTCTGCATGACAGTATATAGTGGTAAAATTATAACTGTGCAAATTTTATATCTAAAAGTATGATAACTCTCTTGTTACAGTCTCAGTTGTTTCAACCTAAAAATTGATCCCAAATTGTCCTTTATGGTTTTCATACTGTAACTTTTAACATGTTTTGTGTATCTTCATGAAATTGTGCAATCTTTTAGTAAGTAAACATTTGTAGACAAAAAAATCAAAATTTTTTTAAAAAGTATTTTCTCTAAAAATTTCTCCATGAATGTATGGAGTTAGTGTTGGCTGCTCCAAGTGGAAAAGTGATTTCCACATTAAGATTAAAAATAGTTTTCTTCATCTGAAATATGGCTCAGCATGGCCAGGTGGTTAGGGTGCTCGACTCGCAATCTGAGGGTTGCGGGTTAGAATCCCCATCACACCAAACATGCTCGCCCTTTCAGCCGGGGGTCCATTATAATGTGACAGTCAATCCCACTATTCGTTGGTAAAAGAGTAGCCCAAGAGTTGGCGGTGGGTGGTGATGACTAGCTGCCTTCCCTCTAGTCTTACAGTGCTAAATTACGGACGGCTCGTGTAGCTTTGCGTGAAATTCAAAACAAATAATCATCTGAAATATCTCAAATTTCATTTACATAATCTTTAAAACCTTCTAAATAAATTTCAGACTTTTTTCAGTAAAACTATATTTCATCTGTTATTTTCTCTACCTTAACTTTTTGAGGTTAGTCAATTTGATGGACTCTGTAACCAGTTTATGCTTTTTTTCCTTCTAGAAACTACTTTTATTTATCTTAACTAGCTTTAAACTCATAACAGTATACATCTGTGCTACACTTTACTGCATGTGACAAGTTTTAGTGTCTTACATTCAAAATTTTATTTTATGTTATACCAATTAGAATAGCATAAAATCTTAGCTAATAATCCATATTTTTTAATAATATACATTTTATGTTCTTAATTCTACAAGGAAATATATAAAAAAATCCTGAAATGCTACTAGTGTGACCACCGTGACACATTTTCTCTTAGCATGTCATCATCCCTATTTTATCCATCACCCCTCAAAAATGTATGAAATTAAATATAAAATACACTATAAAACCGTTATTGCTGAAACAGACCATAATTTTTATAAACTTCAATTTTGTTTGGTTACAGAGCTATTCAATAGAAAATCAGACCCCTCCTGCCACACCCACTTGTCATATCTTCTCTTTCACAAATCATTAATAGTTCTCTCGTACATTTTATTATATATTACCTAAAACCAATAGAAAGTCAAGATTTTAATCTATCAAATGACGTATTGTATTACATTGTATTCAGAACAGAATATTGTTAATTTCGCTCACAGTACAAGATTTATTCCCGTGGGAAAGTTAACAACTAGCTTGGAAAAATTTGTAACAGCTCTTGTCGTATTGCCAGAAAGCCAGGAAAATATTGAGAGGTAAGTGAATTTGTCTACTTTTTGCATGTTATTAGTCTATATT